GATTTGTTGCATTTGCATAGCGCTTCACCATTTTTTGCTATAGTTATACCATATAGATGATGATAAAATGGAGAAATTTAGAGAGGAATGGAGTAGGTGGTATGACTTCAAGAAATCTGAAAAATATATGGAAGTAGTGGGAGTCCCAGGGGATCTGAGGTAGGACAATTGAATGGAACAGGAAAAGATGGGCTGGAGAGAAAGAAAGAATGGAAAGAAGAGGAACTGTAGGAAGAGATTATCAAAGAGAAGGGATATAGATATGGATTGAAATGATGGAAAGAAATGTGAAGAGTTATATGGACTGGGATAAGTTGAGGGGTGGGTGGGGGGGAATTCAGTTGAAAAGTCTGTCTTTTGGATGATAATGTTATATTGTTGAGTTTTCCTTTTTCTTGTATTGAAAAAATGTAATAAAAGATTTAAATAGAAAAAAATGCCTTTTCAGTGTCAATCCACAGGAATATTGTTGGCTGTTTCTCTCTTTACTCTTTGTAAGAGGAGCAATGATCTCAGGCCATTGTCCCTTCCTTCTCTCCCGGGGATTCTATTGAAAAAATTTAATAAAAGATTTAAATGAAAAAAAAAGCCTTTTCAGTGTCCATCCACAGGAATATTGTTGGCTGTTTCTCTCTCTTTACTCTTTGTAAGAGGAGCAATGATCTCAGGCCATTGTCCCTTCCTTCTCTCCCAGGGATGAATCCTGCCTGATCCAGATGTATCCACTCCAGCATTAGCTGCTTCAGTCTAATTGCCCATTCCTTAAGCATACAATTTTGTATCAATGTTTAGTAAGGATATGGGCCTATAACTAGCACACTGTGAGCTATCCTTCCCTTCTTTAAGTATGATAGTTATATATGTTTGCAGTGATATTTCCCTGATTTCCAGCCCCTTTCCTATTGCATTCATATAACCACACATTTTAGGGACCAGGAGATCTCAAATTTTTTTTAAAATAGCCTGCAGTATATCCTTCCGGACCAGGGCTCTTTCCTGCGGCCGTATTCTTTAGGGCCAAGGTGATTTCCTTCAGGGTAATAGTTCTCTCTAGGGCTACTAAATTTTCTACTGCTATTCTTGGAATCTCCATCTCATTTAAGTATTTCTGCCTATTTCTCTTCATACAGCCTGCTATAATATTTTTGGAACCTACTAGCAATATCAGTGGTGGTGTACACCATTTCTCCTTTATCATCTTTATTTTTTTCTATGAAGTTTTTAGATTTCTTTTCCTTTACCCTCCTCATAAGGTATTTTATGGGTCTATTAGCCCACTGATATCTTTCTTTTGAGACCCTATTAAGTATCCTTCTCAACTCCTGTTCCATAGGATTTGTTATTTTTCCCCCCATTCTTTCTTTTTTTCTGCCCCTATCGAAATCAATATTCCCCTGATATATGCTTTATGTGCCTCCCAGATTGTGGCCACCGAAACCTCCTCTGTCTCATTGAGCTCAACAAATTGCTCAATTTCCTGCCTTAGCCTTTTCTCTATTTCAGGATCTTGTATAAGCATCTCATTTAATCTCCACATAGTTATTTTATCCTTGTCTCCTCCTACACATAGTCTCATTGTGTCAGGAGCATGATCAGAGATGTACATAACCTTTATGTTGGAGTTAACCAACAACTCCAGTTGTCTATGCTCCATCATTATATAATCTAGTCTTGAATACGATGTTCCTAATTTGGGTGAGACTCAAAACACGCACACCCACTCCAATCCCTAAATCATATCATTAGTCTGATTGGAGTTTAACAGCATGTTTGGCTTCCAGGCAACTGGCCAAATCAAAGTTCTCTCTACCCCTCACTCCCTCCCACTGAGGAGGAAGGGACAAAGGGCGAAGGAACCATGGTGCTGCCGGGAGAGGACTGGGCGGCGGTGGCGGAGAGAGAGAGAGAAAAAAAAACAAATAAAAAAACAGGATATACCCAGCTCCGGGTGGCACCTAGGGATTCTCCTCCTCTCCCATCCCCAGACTACTTTTATCTCCAACCCTTCCCCCCTGTCCTCCCCTATCCACCCCACGCCTCTCTTTAGGCCTCTCTGACCACCCTTCAAGGTCTATTTTCTCTAAGTCTAATTTCTCACAAAAATCACTGAGATAATCTGGGAACCTCAGCCTTGTCGATTTTCTGTCTTTCCATCTTATCACGCATGCTGGAAAGCCCCAGTTATATCGAACTTTTTTCTCCCTCATATGTTCTAACACCAGTTTCAGCAATCTTCTTCTAGCCAGTGTCTCTGGAGCAATATCAGCGAAAATATGCAACTTTGTCTCGTTATATTTTATTTCAGTAGTATCACGCAAACTTTTCCATATTCTTTCTCTGTCTTCATAGTGATGGAACTAAACTATCACATCTCTGAGGCTTTCCGCAGACACTCCTTGTGGCCGTTTGATCCTATGTACTCTCTCAATTTTCAGATTTTCTGTCACTGATCTTCCCATTATTGGATTACACACTCTCTTTATTTTCTCCCGTAGATCCTCTCCCTGTTCTTCTCCTGGTAGATCCTGGATCCTTAGATTGTTTCTTCTGTCGTGGTTCTCTTGGTCTTCCAATTTAAATGAGAGCTTTCTCTTTTCTCTGCGCATCTCCTCCACCTGTGCTTCTAATTTATTGATTAATTGAGAGTGAGTCTCCATTCTCCCCTCTACTTCTTCACCTTAGTATCCGACCCAAATCATTGCGTAGTATCCCTTTCTCATTTTTAATAAACATCTCCAGTTTCGCAAACATTTCCGCCATCTCAGTTTTTGTAGGTATTTGTGACATAGCTCCTTGTTGTTCCATGACACTGTCCAAACTTATTGATTTGGTGGTCTGGTTTCCTTCCCGGGACCCAGATGACAATCTAGATTGATCTCCGTCAAATTTTCTAGTTCCTTGTTGTTTTTCCCGGGTTCGCTTCTCCAGACATTTCTCCTGAGAGGGCATGTATTTTTTAAATTGTACTGGCATTTGCATTCGATTGGGGGGTTTTGACCCCCCTCCTTTAGGTGATTTACTCTTCATTTCTGTTCGACTCTCCTGTTACTTTTCTATTATCAAAAGCTTCCAGTAGCTGTCAAATAGATGGCCGCCTGAGCGTCCCAGCACAAATTTATCTGTTAAAAATACAAATTTATCGTCCCCAAGAAAAGTCCCTTCTCTTCTAGTGATTTTCACCACCTCCTATTCTGTTTCTTTAGGGGACAGAATAAGTTAAACAGTTCCAGCAACATAAGAGAACACCTTGCAATATAGTCCTCCCACTGTTCAGGTATGTTTTGATTTATCAAACATGCATCACATCAACAGAAACTTAAATGTCCTGCTGTTGGCCACGGCAATTCACCATCACCCTCCAAACCGACCATTCAGGACCCTTCAGTCCCTGTTCACACTTTGGCTCCAGCTGTGGCCTCCAAGCCAAGCTTCCAGAAACACCTGTGGGGGGACTCTATGCATTGGCAAAGATCTGGGGTGTTGCTGGGTCTTCTGAAGTTAGTGTCCCAGCACAGGGTGGGATCCCACCAGAGTCCTGTCTCCTCTCCAGGAGAGCAAGAGCAGAGCCTCCTGCTCTCCTGGAACTTTAAGACTTCCCTGTCACATGGGCAGTCATCTGTCACCTGGGCACGTCCAGCCGCCACCTCCTGCTCCCCACTTGCCGAGATCTTGGGACTCCTGTGCACCTCACAGCCACCGCCGACCACTGGCCATGCAGTCGCACCAGGGGCCCAACTCCAGCAGGGTCTCCCACCTCCGCAAGGCCACAACAAGGACCGTCTAACTGCCAAGGCACCGCGGCCAGCCAGGTCCTCCCTCAGGTAAACTCTGGGTGGTCAGGAACTAGCCATCTCTAGTGAATGGCAGGCGCCTGGAGTTCATGCTGCTCACAGGACCATGGTCTGGTCCCTCCCCCCTAAAATGTTTTAAGCCTGGTCTAAAGTTACTTAAAAGAGTGCATGATGGTTTCTGGAACATGAAAGTACAAGGCCCATAAAGCACATGTGGGGTACAGAAGCATGGCCACTACGAAGGATTAACTCAGCAGAGGTGTTGGAGCAGGAGAATACTTGCCATGGATATCCAAGGACTGATGGAATGTGAATAGCAGAATATCCAGAAGCATGGTATCTGGCATGGCGGCGGGTCCTCTGATAGTAAGGGGTCAGTGTTTTGGCTCCCTCGCTAGCAGTTGGTTAAGTAAGTGCATGCATTAGGTCTGTGGTAGGTGCACGATGGGAGAGTGAGATGACCGAGGTACGCTAGATGGGTGGAGAGGGCACAGGCTCAGCAGTGTCCCTCCTAAATGCAACATACAACAAGGAAGGTGTTTAGTGATGCAGGGCAGCATGTTTTACAGAGGGACTCAACTGTACACCATGTACGGGCCTGTCTCTAAGTCGGAGTACTGCCATAATGTTTGACCTTCACATGAACACAGCCACGCCTGAGCAAAGGTACCCCCACATGCAGGGCGAGGTGACCATACCCACAAGCACACTTGAAAAATCTAGTTTCATGTTGTGAATTCTGCCTGTCTGCTGACCGTCTCTTTCAGTAACTTCCTGGATTCTCTGCAAGGTTTGCATCTTCTCCTTTGTTGTTTAATATGGATTTCTAGGAAATAAAAACACCATGGTACCTTGCTGCCTACAAGCAGTGAATCCTGTACTGACTCTGCCTCCTGAAACTCCTCCTCTCAGCACCTCTGTAGTTCAGTAGGCAGGCTCTGTGAAATGTGTGACACAGCAGTGCCTACTCACAGGACATAGTGACTACATGTCACAGAATTCAGGGGAGGAAATATGTGGGGATCGTCACAAAGTAAGTTTACAAATTTCAAGATGGTTCAGATTAATAGGCGTAGGCTAGAAATAATTGAAATACAATCTTGAAATAAAAATATGATTTGATATTCTGACCATAGATACACTTTAGGGGCCTTCTTATATCTGTCCATACCATTTTCAACTTTAACTTTATTTAAAACATTTTTGCAGGACTTCTGTGTTCTTTGCCTCAGCTCCCAAGTGGCATCACGGTTGCCCCGGAGAAGGATTCCTACCAGGTTGGAGATAAAATAAAACTCTCATGCCAACAAGACCTGAATTTAGAAGGTCCAGAGATTTCTTCATGCAGTTCAAGCCTGACCTGGAATCCTGATATAACAGACATCCATTGCACAAGAAAAGGTGAAGTGTGATGCAAGATACAATTAGAAAAATTTGGCCTGACGTTCCTTATTAGTCTAAATTTTAGCTTCACGGTCAGATAAAGTTTTGCTAGTGAACAAACTTTGAAGAGTGGTAATATGGAAATGTAATAAGGTAAACCATTCCAATGGGACTTCAGTTGGTCACTTCATTCAATAGTAATAATGCTGGTCTTGTTTAGTGAGCTGGGACATTTCCTAGCATCCTTGATATCCAGTTCTGTTACCACTCTCCTGGTATTGTAGGAGTGGTCCTACCCCACTATTTGCATTGTGAAAAAAAATTGAAATCCGGAAGTAGGAGTGGGTCATCCCCTTAATTGTCTTAGAAGTTGTACAGACCTGAGAGTTAAAGTGTATGTCCACCAAAAATATTTTTTTCCTAATTTTGTAGAGAGTGGGGAAAGGTTATGTTAGAGATTCTGTATATAGCTTTACAGAACAGACAGTGGAAAGACACATGTGTTTATCTGCTTGCTTCTCTGCTAACAGGAAACAGGAACTGTATTATAGAGAAAATACATAGAGTTTAACCACAGAGATCACCTACAAGTAAACCCACCCATCCATCCATGTCTGGTTTATTTTGTAGCTAAATCGCTTTAAAAAACACCCACCAGCATTTCTAGCCGCAGTCATCTTGAGTAAAGGCAGATGATTTGTGTAGTATTTTTTCCTGGAATCCATCTTCCCTTAGCTCAGGCATGCAGGCAGGTGGGTGTGCTTAGCTGAGAAAGCCCCTCCTCCCCTCCTCTAGATGAAAGAAAAAAGGAAGCCCATGCAGGAAAAAAAATGCCCATGCAGGAAAAAAAAAATGTGCATTTTTTTTTGATGAGCCTGCGGAGCATTGCACCCATGAACAATATATTGCAGGTACAATGTCAGGCTCCTGCAGACACTCTCTCCAACTTCCCTGCCCGTACCTCCATATGGCCAGACAGTTACAAAGCTGAAGGAAGTGTCAATGAACTGCAAGGGCGCACGTCAGTGATGTGGCTGTGTGAGCGGGGCAATGTTTTTTAAAAGTGACAGCAGGTGCGGCGAGAGGATCAACCATCTGCAGTCACCAGGGAAGGGGTGAATTTTTTTTTTTGGGGGGGTTGCAGACCTGGTTCACATTGCATCCTAAATATGAGTGTAACATGTAACATGCTCCAATAGGTGAACTTATCCTGTAAGGCTAGGTTTACACTTGCAGTTAGGGGTAGTAAAAACGCGTTGTGTAGCTGCTTTTTACTGCCCCCAACCTCTCCCCAGAAACTGCAATAGCAGCAGGAGGGGATGTACACATGCTGTGCACATGCTGCGGCTGTGATTATTTTGCATCACAACATGGCAAAAATCATCCCCCCCATTCATCCTAAATGGGGCTGTAAACGAGCCCTTAATGAGTCAGGCCACCCAAAAGTAATATTACAATTACAGCTTCCATATCATATAATGGATGCATCCATTTGCATCCATTATATATATAATATCTGGCCATTCTTATCGTAATAAGGAATAATAAAAAATGGGGAACAGAAGGGATTGTGTGAGGCGGGGGTCTCTTTCTTTATTTTACTATATTAAAAAAATCACATGTGGGAGGCCAAATTTAAGATCAAGGCATTTTTTTTTAGCTTACCTGTACATTTGTCCAGTTACCTATTAACCACTTCCAGTCCGGACACTTTTACCCCCTTCCTGTCCAGGGCAATTTTCAGTTTTCAGCACTATCACACTTTGAATGACAATTGTGCGGTCATGCAACGCTGTACCCATATGCATTTTTTACCATTTTTTTTAGCCAGGTAAAACTTTATTTTGGTGGTATTTATTCACTGCTGGGATTTTTATTTTTTTTTTGCTATGTAAATGAAAATGTCCAAAAATTTTGAAAAAAAGTGTTTTTCTTATAAAATTTTGCAAATAAATAATAATATTTCATCATAAATCTTGGCCAAAATTTATTTTGTTATCTTTTTAGTAAAAAACAAAATAAGTCAAATTAGTTTATAACCAAAAATTATAATTTTTAAACATTTTGTTTTACATTTTTATTTTTTTTTATAATATTATTTATTTTTTTTACATACTGTCACCCTAGCAGCACAGTGTCACCACGATGACACTGTACTACTTTTGGGGGGTGATGAAGATTTGTTTTTTTTACACTGATTGCTTTTACACCCATATAGGATGTAAAAGCAATCATTTCTCTTTCTCTCTGTCTGCATTCTTGCATCCATTGAGAACTACTGAGTGAGCTGTGATTGGTCAAAGCTTGTCACATGGTACAAGGCTGTTGTGAATAGCCTTGTACCATGTGACCTCTGTGATCATTCACAGATTTCACACGTAGTAAGCAATTATGTCACAAGTAACATCTTGCTTACTACTTTGCATGTGATCACTGATTGGCCAATCAGTGATCACATGATCGGGACCTCGTACAGATCGGAGTTTCACTGTGTCCGGAGGACACAGCGGGCACCGGATCATGGTGCTGCGCACTCCTGGGGAGCGTGCACAAGCAGGGTGCGAGGAGGCCGTTTATAAATGGCCACCCAACCCTCCAGTGCCACCGTCCGGTCGGGAAGTGGTTAAAGCTGCTTTTTATAGTTTCAGCTCAATCCCACCCCAGTATTTATACACTCACCAGCCACTTTATTAGATACACCTTGCTAGTGCCAGGAAAATCTCACCCACACCATTACACCCCCACCAGCCTGAACCATTGATACAAGGCAGGATGGATCCATGCTTTCATGTTGTTTACGCCAAATTATGACCTTACCATCTGAATGTCACAGCAGCCAGTCTGCCCATTTTCCTCTAACCTCTGACATCAACAAGGCATTTTCATCCACATAACTGCCGCTCACTGGATATTTTCTCTTTTTTGGACCATTCTCTGTAAACTCTAGAGATAATTGTGCATGAAAATCCCAGTAGACCGGCAGTTTTTGAAATACTCAGACCAGCCTGTCTGGAACCAACAGCCATGTCACATTCAAAGTTACTTAAATCCCCTTTTTTCCCCATTCTGATGCTCGGTTTGAAATTCAGCAAGTCATCTTCACCACATCTAGATGCCTAATTGCATTGAGTTGCTGCCATGTGATTGGCTGATTATCAATTTGTGTTACTAAGCAATTGAACAGATGTACCTAATAAAGTGGCTGCTGAGTGTATTCTTCCTTTAAGTGAGCAGACTGCTCAAGCTGAGAATAGTCTTCTATACCATAATTCTAACAATATATCAGTGAATACAAAAAAGTGACAGGATCTGGGATAAGCTATAACACTGCTAGGGGTGCTGGAGCCATTGCAGCAATGTAAAGCAGGTGAATAAAAGGTGACTGATTTAAGCACCCCTGGCAGTGTTCTAATTTTTCTCAACACCTGTCATTGTCACTTTTCCTGGATAGCTTAACCTGCATATAAATGTTAAGACAAATATAAAGACATAAAAGAAATAAAACAAGGTTGCATTTGTTGGTAACTTTTATATAGCATTTTATTTCTACTCCTGCAGTCACCCGAAAAACAGAAGTAACAAAATGCAAGCCATGGGAAAAAGTCCAGGAATCTAAGTGCACTTGTAAAATGCCAGCCGAATGCGGGTAAGATTGCAACCTTTTCTGGAACAAAATACCAGCCTTATGAAATCTTTTCTATTAATAATATTGTTTGCAAGTAAAATGCTAGCCAGGTGGTATTCTTAAAAGTATGTAATATATCGATACAATATGTACATTCCATTCAGATGTGACTGGATAGTTTGTGGTCTTTATTTAGCTTTACTTACTTTGTCCAAGCCTGACACCTATTGTGTATCAGGGGTCAGAAATCATAGCAGGGCCGGATCAAGCCTGTCTGATGTGGGAGTAAAATAAAAAAATGTCAGGGTGCAGAGGATGGAAGGTCAGCAGGGCAGTGTACAGGGGGTCAGCAGGGCAGAGGATAGGGTCCACTGTGTGTAGGGCAGTGTACAGAGGCCATTAGTTTGTAGGGCAGTGTACAGAGGACATTAGTTTGTAGGGCAGTGTACAGGGGCCATTAGTTTGTAGGGCAGTGTACAGAGGCCATAAGTTTGTAGGGCAGTGTACAGAGGCCATTAGTTTGTAGGGCAGTGTACAGAGGACATTAGTTTGTAGGGCAGTGTACAGAGGACATTAGTTTGTAGGGCAATGTACAGAGGCCATTAGTTTGTAGGGCAGTGCACAGAGACCATTAGTTTGTAGGGCAGTGCACAGAGACCATTAGTTTGTAGGACAGTGTGCAGGGGGTCAGCAGGGCAGAGGATAGGGTCAACTGTGTGTAGGGCAGTGTACAGAGGCCATTAGTTTGTAGGGCAGTGTACAGAGGCCATTAGTTTGTAGGGCAGTGTACAGGGGTCAGCGGGGTAGAGCACAGGGGTCAGCAGAGCTGAGGATAGGGGACAGCAGAACTGAGTCCAGGGGTCAGCAGGGCGGATGACATGCGGTCACAACTAGCAGGGCAGAGGACAGGGTTCACTGCTGGCAGGGCAAAGGACAGAGGTCACGTTTGCTAGGGCAGGTTACAGGGGTAACTGCAGGGCACTCAGCAGAGCTCCTACTCCCATCCCTGCACTGCACACAGCCTGGGAACAGGCAGCAGAGCTCCTCCTACTCTGTCCTCACACAGATTGCTGAGATCAGTCAGGCTAGGGCAGTAAAGTATCAGATTAGGCTAGTATAGTGTCAGATTAGGGCAGTATAGTGTCAGACTAAGGCAGTATAGTATCAGATTCGAATGGTATAGTGTCAGATTAGGGAAGTATAATGTCAGATTATGGCAGTATAGTGACATATAAGGGCAGCATAGTGTCATATTAGGGCAGTATAGAGACAGAATTTGGCAGTATA